GTAACAAGTCGAATATTCATTGCTCTGACATTGTGAGTTTATATTTATAGACGGCTATCGTAGATATATGGAAGCTTCAATTATATTCAGTGAACGATCGACCATCGTCCTTTATGTGGAGAGAGTTGATGAATAATGCAACCAAACAGCTCAATTTTGTAGAGGTATCGTGTCAATTGACAACATTTTATGCGTTATGCTGAGCGATCCTTTGGACACTGTACTGACCTGTAATCGATACCAGGAAGCGAATGCAAAGTTCGAGGAAGAACTAAGGGAAAGAGATGGTCGTTATGCTGAAATGACAAATGCTTTAGCGAAAATGTCTGCACAAGAACGAGAGAAGGAACTATTAAGTCAGGTACACATTACTGAGGACGTTCATTTCTATACAGATTTGTCATAGAGGCCCATACGCCGTCAAACACGTTCTGTAGTTCTCGGTCGTATTAAATGCAAAGAAAAAGAAACTTAGAAAATTGCTCAGATTACTGGAAAGTCGAGGTATGTAAGATGCAAATAACGTGGATCTTTGATAGCAGTGTATCTGCCAATTGTCAAATTTGTCAACTTTATTTCGATCACTTCAAGAAGTTTACCTTAAGAATTTTTAACTTGATCCATTCTCCTGTCACATATGGTTTTAGTTTTTGGACTGCATATCTTGTTTACATGTTTAAAATAGATGCGTAGTCTTTGGTTTGGGGATATGTTCAAAACTTTGATACACACTGCACGTACGAAACGTTTTAATAACACTTCCAGGGGTTTGCTAATGATTTAATAATTAACAGAGCTCTTGCAAAATCATTCAGGCATATCAACAGAAGATATTACCGAGCCCTCATCGATAGTGGATGACGAAATGTCTGAAGATCACAAGACCACGAAAAGAAAGGCGGCACCCAAACGTAATTCTACCAAAGCGGGGCGTGTCAAGAAGACGACTGCTGTTGAAAGTTCTAAAACCACTCGCGCTAAGAGAGGCCGAAGTGCTGCCAAGCCCGGACGTCTCAGTGCGCGACAGAGGGAAAAAAGTCCAGAAATTACTTATTCATTGAGTCTAATGTCAATAGAAGAGAGGCAGGAAAATGAATCGTCATCGCAGATTGAACCGCTGGCGCAACAAACTTACCCCGAGACTGTAGTACAACCCTTCAACTGGTCAGTGTCTAGAGCTGGCTCGGAATTGACTGATCTGATGTCGGCGGCAACTATTAGAAGCAACGAATCGTC